ATAGCTTGATACAGCAAAGAAGTCTAGGAAAATAAGACATCTCCTTATCGTTATTTTCCTGGACTTCTTTGCTGTATCAGGCTATATGGTTTGCAAAATTTTCCGACCAAAAACCTTTTGGGTTTCTACAGGTTAGATTTAAAAGATAAAAAAGAAAGGAGTTCTTGTGATTATGACACACTGTACTGCATAGATAACACCCAAACGCTTCTCTTCGATATCGTTAATGACTGGTCCCAACTGTCTGGACATTCTGATCAGCTCATTTTGTAGAGAATTTAAAGGGCTATCCAATGATATGCTTTTGAAAAATATACAATTTTTATTACGCTAGAAAAATGACTAAAAGTGTGTTTAAAGCACTAAAATAGGTGAAAATCACGACATCGGCCAAGTATTCCGACTACTGACCCATGCGGGCATTTTTTTGGAAGACTTATTTATAGCTAACTCATTTTAAAGCTTGAAAAGTTCTATCTTTCTATATATAAAACATTCCGGTTCTCAGTACATGAGTTCAAGACTCCGAACTTCTTTAAAGTGCTAAGGTAGGTGAAAAAAACTTTTTAACAAGTTTGAATAAAATTAGATATTTATTTTGCTTTTGACTGACTCGAAAGGGACTCGAGTCGGTTTATCAAGTTTCTAGAGTCTTTCACATCGAGTCCGAGTTTGAGTCATAGGAAAATGCTGGCAAACTTCACTTTTCCAAGAAACATTTACATAAGTGAGTTAAAACGTTTTTTCCTTATCACGGTATTGATTGAATAAAGTATCTACCGATACGGTCCAGCTATTCACCTGTTTCCGATGTTCATAATAAACATGTTAAAAGAACCACATTTGTTTTTGCGCACATAAAATGCATATAAAACAAGGCTACGTGCTAACGAAAGTAGATAAAAGGAGAAAAATTAAGCGGATTCACAATAAAAGATACTTGTACATTTTTTTTGAGCTCTAAGTTGTTGCATGAGTCCATATAAGATTGAGAGAAGGATGTAACATTTAACAATTTTTTATTATCACATTATTTAGAATTTTCGACTTAACTACAGTGTTATTTAAGAGCATGATTCCAGCAAAAGGATATGCTGTTCTTGAAGCAAATGGTCCATTTCAAATATACAACTTTAATCGACGTGCGCTGGGCCTAAATGATGTTTTGATTCATATTCACTATTGCGGTATATGTCATACCGATATTCATCAAGCGAAAAACGATTGGCAAGGTGGAAAATATCCAATGATACCCGGTCATGAAATTACAGGCAAAGTGGTAAAAGTGGGTGAAAATGTAAAACGTTTTAAAGAAAATGATGCAGTAGGAGTTGGATTCTTAGTAGATTCATGTCGTTCCTGTGAGCCGTGTAATAAGGATCGTGAACAGTACTGTGCTAACGGATATTCGGGGACATTTAATGGTACGGAACAGGACAAAGAAACACCGACGTACGGTGGATATTCAAATTATATTGTTGTCACTGAACATTTTGTTGTGAAGATTCCTGATGGATTACCGCTAGATTCAGCATGTCCACTCATGTGTGCAGGTACAAAATGATAAATGGTAGAATTATTTTTCAATAAAAATACTTCTTTTCCATAGGTATAACCAGTTATTCTCCATTAAAAAAATATTTAGGAAAAAATGCCAAAGTAGCTGTTATTGGGCTCGGTGGTGTTGGACATATGGCAGTGAAATTCGCTAATGCACTTGGTGCAGAAGTCACAGTCCTAAGCACTAGTGAAGAAAAACGAACAGATGCCATGAGACTAGGTAGTATCATTTTCATCTCATAATCGGCACACCATTTCATATTTTATTTTATTCAGGTGCTAAACATTTCATTGTATCAAAAGATGCGGAACAAATGAAATCAGCATCTAACAAGTTCAATTTTATTTTTGATTCGGCTTCAGCCGACCATGATGTCATACCTTATTTGCAACTCTTAGCGTTTGAAGGAGTTTTTTGTGTTGCTGGAGCTCCTGTAAAACCTTTGAACATACCGGCCTACATTTTAATCGCTAAATGTCCAATAGTGACCGGAGTATTCGTTGGAGGTATAAAAGAAACACAAGAGATGCTCGAATTTGCTGCAAAACATAAGATAACATGTGACATAGAATTACTAAAAGCAAGCCCGGAAAATTTGGCAACAGCGTTCGAACGTACACTCAATAATGATATTAGATACAGATTTGTTATTGATCTTCAAAATGCTTTTACTTGAATGTTTTTTCTGTTCATATATAATATTGTGTTTATATATAAATATAGCCTGCTCGGTGAGAGTAATCCTAATACTCTGAGAATTATGCAGGTTCGGGGACATATTTCGCTGTAGCACTAATCATAAGCTACAAAATTCTCGTGAAGAGAGCAAAATATCTGCGAGATTCTATGCAGAATTCTCATAGAAAACAACATAATTCTCGTGTAAAAGCATTATTCTCGTGAGCTAGACAAGAAAGTTTTTATGAGAAGATACAAAATTCTCGTGGAGGAGCCATTTTTGTCGTTGGAGTAGCATAATAGCGGTTAGGTGATTTCTCTCCCACCCCTCGCAGATTTGAGCACTCTAAGTAAAATTGACATAAGTTTTGATTGAAGTGTTGCTCAAGGTTGGGAGATTTGCGATTTTAACCAGAAGTGTTTACTCCACAAACTAGTATCGTTGAGAATTTGTTTAATCCCAGAGTTTTACTGGAATATCGGAAAAATGAGTGGTATATGTATTTTAGAAAACTTCTTCAGAAATTGTCAAAAAGATTTGATACTGGTAAAAACAGTGTGAATTCTAATGGCAGATATTGTGGTCTATGCAACCATCTTCTTAGCTCAGTATTGAGTTCTTATACAAAAAATCTATATTTCTGACGGTAAGGCTTTAATAAATCATGTCTTCAATTCTACTATGATCTACAATGAATAATTAACGCGCTCGCGTTTAGTAAACTTACTTTTTTATAAAGCACTATAATGATGAAAGTCAGAAGTTAAAGATTATTTCATGAGATGTGTCTGTCACATGAAAGAACGCATTGGTCATACGTTTATAACTTGTAGGAATACAAGCATGACAACAGAAAAGAAAATGAACAAAGCAAGTTTACATTCTCGTGCATCGTTCACAACATAGAAAATCAAAACTTTCCGTTGTCTACCTGTTTTATTTTCTCGATCTAATAGAAAGTCGAACAGAACTCTAAATATAAAAGGTTATTAGGTAAAAATTACTTTAAAAAATTTACTTTAGACAATGTCCTAAAATGCATTGAATTTAGTCTTATTTTTCTTCGCTTAGTTGCGTCATTGATTCTAAATGATTATTTTTTTTGTTCAATAATGAACGAATATTCTTGTTAGTATGAATGATTATCTGGAATGATTAATTACACATTTCTATACTGTGGCACAGCATGTAGCAAGAGAAAATGAAGAGATAAAAATCAATTTGTAGAGAAAGTAACAGTCATAATGATGTAACTCATGATAAGTTTATTCAATTTCGTAAAAATGTTTGAAATTTGATCTTTAGAAACACAATCATCACGTGTCATTTCAATTTAAATAAACAATATTCGATCATCAATAGCATACACAGAGTGAAGGAAAATATCTGCTTATACTCACCAGAATACACATGTCATGTCAGTGATATTTGATAGGAACCACGATAATAGATGATTATAACATACATAGAGCATACAGTAGTAAATTTCTTCTGATAAATTCTGTGTTTAGACCGTATTATGTAAATGTACAGAAAAAATTCTAATGACATGTAAATGGTCCATTGTGAATAATTTAAATTATTCTGTCTATTTCAGATTTCAGCCACTTGATATCAATAGTTAAAAGTCGTTATACTTCCTAATTTATCTTTTCTTATATTGTTATATATTTTTATTGATTTTAACACAAGGTTAGCGGTCAAAGACCATTATGGACTTCACAATAATAAAAATGTTATCAGTAAGTGATCACAGAAAGGTAGAGGAAACAACAAGAGTAACAAAATAAAAAACTAAGAAAACAGGCTAGGTGGCAAGGGAGGATGGACATGATAGAAATTGAAAATGACTATGTCTGCAGTTATTCATATCTGTTCGTTTGTTGAATATACAAGAGGACTGCATCCAATAAACATGTTAAAATGTTATGATCTAAGTCTAAGCCATTCAGTAGCAAAGTGTCAACTGAGGATGAAAGATTTTGTCGTTGAGTATTATATAGCGAATAGTGCAAAAAATGATGTTGAATATCCTCTCTATTATTTCGGCAATTACATTTAGGTGAATCTATATAACTACGCCGATAGCGATAGTAATTTAACGATAAAAGCAAAATTTCCGCTGCTAGATTACTATCTCTATCGGACATAATAGAGAGGATATCCAGCATTATTTTTTGTACTGTTCACTATATAATACTCCACGATAAATTTCTTATATTAGAACATCATTAAGGTCATAAGAAATCTATGTCATTCTGTTTTTGGAGGTTTTTAAAGAAAAATACTTCGCTCTCTCTTCGTTCTATGTAAAATGATGAGCCTTCCATATGAAAAATTTAACTTGTGAATAAGCGGTTTAACTTACGAGGAAATCTCCCCAGATGTCCAACTCTGATTTCAATGGTCTTTCGTCTATATCCACTTGAAAATAAATGTTTTCCGTCGATTTTTTAAATTTATTATATATATAGTAATATATTTTTCGAAAAGTCGTTATATATCCTGGTATCGCTTGAAATTTTCTATTAGTGTCTGTTTTCTCAGCCTGGATACGAAATTATTTGCTGGTAGAAATTAGGAAAGTAGAAATTTTAAATATTGTTAATGCCCCCCCCACCTATCACATTCCCTGAAATTGTAACGGGTGCGGCCTCTCAGTATTTCCTATTTTTCTTGTGTTTCTTTAGAACCCATAGGTTAATGTTTTTCTTAAGAAGATACGCCATGAAATATTACCATACCTAAACTTTAATTTCAGAACGTCAAACAGGAAAACTATACAGATTATACAAAAGACGAAAAAAAATGAAAACTTTGAAAATCTGGTATTTTTTTCCACTTGAATCTTTTTCTTCTGCTATTGTTTCCGTAAAAACGGGTTGCAAAAGTGGGAACTCAGTTCGGTCTCATGGTCTGTAAAAACAGAAGAGTTAGTTGAAGAAGCATGGAATGCAATCTATGCGAATGTGATACGTGGGTACATTAACAATATTCGAAATATTTGTCAGCAAATAATTGCAATTCAGAGCTGGTGAAGTAGAGGATGGTAGAGAATTTCAAGCGCTATCAGAATATATAGTACTTTTGTAAAAGTTATATATAATAAATTTGAAAAAATAACTGAAAAAGGAATAAAAAATGCAGTTCGTGGGAATGTGACAATAAGAGTGCCTTCATTATACCCGAAATATTTTTCAGCAAATAAGTGTAAGTCAAGATATAAATATACAGGGTGATAGAGAATTCGGAGCGCTTTCAGAATATATAATTACGTTTCCTATATATATAATAAATTTAAAAGATAGACTGAAAACATTTATTTCCAGGCGGATAGATTCTATCTAGTGTCCTAGTAAAAACTCTAAAAGGATTTGGGTTCTTATTACTTCTTTCAAAAGTTATGAATTTTTTTATTTTGCCTATACAACACACAACATAAATTATTAAAAATTCTATAACTCAAGTCAAAACATGGTATGAAAGGCTTTGATAAAAGACAGTTTGGGTTAGTGAGCTCGCTGACCGTTCAATCTGATGAACAGCATCATCAAAGAGAATGTTGTCTCCCTTCTAACATACAGAGGCCTCCCACCTAAGAAGTTCTTTTTTTAATTCTTTTTTTGTCTATAAGCCGTTGAGCAAATATTTTGTGTAAACAGATAACCTAAACTAAAATTTTTAAACATAAGAACAGAAACAACTAGAAAATAAAAGAAAAAAGAAAAACTATTTTCTTTATTACATCCATCAGTATAATCATCATCGCGTAAATCTGCCTCTTCATCATTGTCAGAATCTATTGTTTTTTTTATTGCTTAAGCCAATATTATTGCTATAGTCAAGAGTATGATCACTTTCAAAAGAGTATGACGTGCAATTTAGTATGTTTTCAACATTTTTAAATAACATTTTTGCTACTTCTTCATCCCTCCTTGTGTTTTGTGGTATCTAATTCGAGGTAAAAACGGTTAGAAACTAAATTTATTAAAAGTTTTTAAAACGCTATGTGGATTAATCATGCGGTTATTCGTATACTTAGATTGTAGCAAATGAGATTTAGAAAAACAGTGGGTACATCTCTCTTCTTGTGTTTAATACACCTCTAATCAACAAAAGTGAAGATAATAGATTTTTGCGTAAACAATAGACACATATGAATCCAAATTCTTTTAGGGTTTTTACTAGGTAGGACACTAGATAATATCTATAGGCAAAAGATCATTGAAATCGGAGTTGGACATCTAGGAAGATTCCCTCGTTAGTTTGATATAGATTTCCTGTATAGACGGTTTTTGCTTCATAAAAATTTTGCTAGACATCTGTGTGATTTTCTAGTAGTCGAATAGAGAAAGATATTAGTTTTATTTATTTTTTTTATCTTAATGTTCATTAGAATAAATATAAACAGATGTAAATGTGTACAAACATAATGTGTCCAATTTTTCTTATTATCTCTCAATATCTTAAGATGCAATTTAGTGTTGCCACTTGTCTTGTCTTGTCTTATCGAAATTCATAAATATGATATTCAAACAGGTTAAACGACAATTTAGAAGGCGGAGTGATACAAACAATTGGGAGATATATAAACAAATAGTGTGATAGTTAATTGCGTTGTTATTGCTATAGAAGTCTCGATAAAGAAATCAAGTAGAAACATTTGTTATTGTGTCAAATATTTTAAAAACGTGAATTCAATTAAGTTTATCTTCTTGTCATACGTGTTTGAGCACGTTTTCCATTTTACTTTCACATACGACAATGATTATTAATATCTCACATAATCAAGTATTTGTTCCATTTATAATAAAATTTACTGTATTTGGTAGAAAAGCAAAATATTATTACATTTTCAAGTTTCAGATACAAAACACTTCAATATTTTGAAAAACACAGACAAAATGCCAGTCATTATTATGTTGATCTATTTCGTTCATCCTCGCAAAGGTGAAAATAGATGAATCAATATCTTTTACTTACTAAATACATTCCTG